TAAAACCATTACAAGGCTTTGGGGCAGTTACATAATTATAGAGAGTACGGGAAATAAACCCTACAAATATTACATACTAGGAGCAGGTACATAATAGAAAAAGTGTGAAAAATATAAAGCTACACTATTACAATTGAACATGCCCTATACACTTGATCTAAGAAATGTAAATACAAATGAAAGAAATGGAAATAAGGGAAAACTGGTTTCAATGTTTGTTAGGGGTTTTGTGAAGAAAAATGATTGATGATGATGATTAATTAAATAAAACCTAATTAATTTTAATTAATTAAAAAATGGTTAATTAATTATTTGATTAAAAGGTTAATAGAAAAACCTAAACCTAATTATTTTTAGGGTTAAAGAAAAAAAAGGTTTTTGTTAATTTTTGGTTAATTGAAAAATATGGTTTAGGGGAAGAAAAATCAATGAGAAAACAAAGTTAGAAATTAAAATAAGAAAAGTGTCAGGGGTGGGTGTTGAATCCACGCCCTTTGCCTTCACAATAACATGGCTTTCCACTAAACCAGGCGTGTGCAGGTGTCTAGAGTATGGGTATAATGCAGTGTATGTTAAACCTGCAAGAATTGAGAAAATATGAAGAAAAAAATGTCAAAAGGTAGGGATAGAACCCATGCCCTCATGTATCAAAGCCTTAACGCGTGCGCCTTTGCCACTGGGGTGGTTGTGTCATCTGGTATATCAATGAAAACCAATAAATATAATATAACCATAATGGAGTGGGCCGGAGAGGAGTCAGAGCCCTAGCTTTGGTCGTCTTCTCCGATGACTTCTTTTCTTGTTCTTGCAAAATAATAAACATTAGTGGTTCAAAAGGGACCCTAATCCCCCTAATTTAGACCTTGTGAATTTAATGGTGGCCTTGGTTTTGGCTAACTTCCCTTGTATAAAGAGATACGAAGCAAAAGAGTTCAAACGATGCAAACATGGCAACACATGATTCTGGAATCATGGGGGCCATGCGATGGTTCAAACCTGCATATTTACATCTTAGAAGAACATTAGTGATATTAGTTTCGATTAAAGCATGATAGAAATTAAAATACGAATTTCATGCAAGAATGAGAAATGGTGATGCAAGGTTATGCGTTTTAGGCCTCTTGGACCATCAGGGATGATCAAATCTTACCCTATAGTGCCTCAGGGATCGATTGGAATAGGTATTTGGCCTTGAGGAAGACTGGAAAGAAGGGTTTCGATTTTCCCTAGTTTTGACAAATTTTGAAGTTTTTGGAAGGTGGTTTCTTTCAAGGTTTTGTGTCCTTTGTCTTGTCTGAATAATAAGAATATATATAGTAAAATTAGGTCAAGAAGAATGGGCTTGGACCTTTGTATGAAAGCCTTTGATTTTATTTAATTTAATTTTGAATTTAAATAAATAAAATCAAAAATAAATGGAATAAAAATCAAAGGGGTGTATGAATAGATTCAAAGGTTCACTACGAGGTCTAAAACACGTTTGGACCTTGAAAGATAATCCCATTAGCCCAAAAATTCAAGTTTGCTCAATTTGGGTTTCATGCATTTTCTCAAAATTGCCCAACTTGCACCAACCATAACTCTCTCAATTTTTATCATATGAAGGTGATCCTAGACTTTTTGGAAAGCTCAAGATGTCCCTTACAATCTCTGTTGTGATAATTTTCCATTTGAAGAATTTATCTTAATGTAAGTTGCCTTGACAAAAAGTGCCTTTTTGTTGACTTTTGAAATGACCTATAATGTTTTGGCCCATATCTCTCAAATGAAGCATTTTTGGACTTGAGCTTTTAGAGACAAACTTGTAGCGAATTAAATTTCATTCAAAATGAGCTTTTATTGAGAAAAATCTGATGAAGCATGTGAAAGTTATGCTTGGTCAAAGTTTAGTTGACTTCTCCTTAAGAAAACCCTAATTTGGTAACTTTTGACTTTTGGTGAATTGAGAGTTTTCTTGATGAATCATGATAAACCCTTGATCAAATGATGAATGTGACTTCAAAATATTTATGTTGGCCTAAAATCTTGAAGTTTTAATGTATGTTGATAACAATGTTTTGTATAATATAGTTGATTTTCAGTCATCTGAGCAATTGGCTGAGCAAACTTGTGATACAAGGCTTGAAACTTGACATGAGCATTATTAGAGACATACAAGAAACCATGAAATCCACTTGAGGAATTATAAGCTCAATTTTCCTTGATAAAAGTGAAACCCTAGTTGTAGGTCAACTTCTTAGGAGGAGGGCTTGTCTGGTCTAACCTTGAATAGCCTTGAGCAATTGAAAACCCTAGGAGCATAAGGAGATATCTTGAAGAAAATGGAAGGCAAATTTTGGGGTACAACAATAAAAAATTATTTTCTACCTCCAATCAAATCCACCTGGATTGGTCCACATACATTAGAGTATATGATTTCAAGAATATCATTCGACTTGCTTCCTGTGTTATTGCTGAAGTTATTCTTGTGCTGCTTCGCCTACAAACATTCTTCACACACCTCTTTGGAATGTCGATTTCTGGAAACCCATAAGCCATATTTCTTCTTTTCAAATCTGTGATGTCTTTGAATTTCAGATGGCCAAGTTGATAGTACCATATCCATTCATCTCTACTAGTTGCAGTTGCAAGACACTTGTGCTCCATCATATTAAGTTCAATGTTGAAGGTTCTATTATGAGGCATGAGAGCCTTCAATATTAACCTTCCATTTATGTTAACAACTCTCATCATCTTGTATTTAATCGACACTTTGTAGTTCTTTTTTACCAACTTCCCTATGCTGAGCAAATTGCTCTTCATGCCTGGTATGTAAAACACATTGGAAATTACTGACCTCTTTCCATCTTTCCTCATAATCAGGATGCCTCCAATACCTTCAACTGCTAGAGTATTGTCTTTTGCAAATTTCACCGTGTTCTTCCTCGACGGTTTTATGTTGACAAATCAATATTTCCTTCCAGACATGTGATATGAGCATTCTGAGTCCAAGTACCATTGGTCTTTGAATCTTTCTTCATCTCTTGTTGTAACCATTATCATCATCTCTTATTCTTTGTGTTTTTCAAACTTTGCATCACTTTCTTGATTCTTTAGTTTTTCTGGATAATCACTAGAATAATGACCATACTTTTGACAATTGACGCACTGAATGTGACTCTTGTCAGGTTTTCGACCATCATCTCTTCTTTTGCCTCCAGCACCACATATTTGGTTGCCTTGGTATGGGGATATTCTAAGATTCGACACAATTTATTCCTACTGGTTTCCTCTACTAGTAGAATTGTTATAGCTTCCTCTACCTCTATTGTCGAACCACTTTCCTTTGCCTTGCTTTTCTATTGTTGATTGTGCCTGCAAGGCCACATCACTCTTCGACTTTCCTGCATCTCTTTCAGCCATTCTTTGTTCATGGGATTCAAGTGTCTCTTGAAGCTCTTATTTTGTCAATTTTGACAAATCTTTCAACATTCTATGGCTACTACCATGTGGTCAAATTTCGGAGCCAAAGATCTCAAGATCTTTGCAACAACTGATCTCAACGTCAGCGCTTTTCCACATACCTTGATTTGGTTCACTTGTTTCATAACCCTAGTGAAGAAATTTGTTATGCTCTCACTTTCTTCCATCTGAAGCAATTCATACGTTCTTTTGTGAGTTTGTAACCTCACCTCTTTCACCCTTTTTTGCACCACAAAAAGACTTTTCCAAAATTTCCTAAGCTTCTTTCGAAGATTCTACATCACTCACCTTTTTGAAGTTTTCTGGACTCGAACATTGATGAATTATAAAGATAGATTTATAATTATTCTTCCTCAATTCTTTGTGTGTGGCCTCTTCTTCTTCCGTTGCGTTTTCTTTAAGCAATTCTAACCCTTCTTTCACAAGATTCCAAAGATCTTGACGACATAACACAACCTTCATCTGCTTGCACCAATTCTCATAGTTATCAACTTTCAGAAATGGAAGACTTGCTGGAAAATTCCTATTCTGATGATTCATTGCCATCGTGATTTTATTGCCTTGAATCGCTTAACCGGAGCTCTAGATACCAGATATTGGAAATCTACCAAAACCTATGGAGAATTTCTATCAATCTTGATGAACAAGATTATTATCAATACAAAATAACAATGAAAGAAAGAATTATAGTTTTTGAAAATAAGGGGAAGAAGATGATTTCTGCAGAGTAACTCTCTGCCCATAAACTATGGAAAATCTTATTCACTTGCAACTGCAAATTCTGTGAATTCTCTATCTGAGGTTTTTTACAATATAGGGGTTACTCCCTATTTATAGTTTTAGGTTAGATTTCTCCGTAAGCCAAAACCCAAAACACAAAAGCCTAAAATACCTATTTTAAACCTAAGTCAGAATACAGTGTGAATTTACCTCCTTTGACACTTCGACATACAAAACACAACTCGACATAGTGAGCATTTTGGCACACACTAGGGCTAGTTTCGACACACCTTGTTTTGTCGAGCAACATGCTGCTTCGACACAAGGAATTACAACTCAACATAAATGACATACAAATAATGTAACGCAATAGCAATATTAATGAATGTAGGAAATTAAAGGAGGTAAGGAAATAGATAAAAGATACACAGTGATATATAGGGGTTTTGTGTTTATCCTCGCTTTTCCTACTCCACTCTTTAACAAGTGGAGTAGGCAAATCTAGGTGTATCTATCAAGAAGCCAAAAATAGAAATTTCATACTAGTGAACTAATCATACACCACAAAAAGCATATGACACCAACTTCTGCATAAAACATAGTTTACATAAAATGATAAAGATAAAGATAGATTATTATAATCACAGATATACCATAAAATACGCGACTGAAACTTGTCATAAGGTACATGATCAAAACATAGTGTCAATATCTCAAAACAACCATTCAATCCAAAATGACAATAGATTTCCAAAATCAAAATGTTGTGATATGTCATGAACGAAAAGAAAAAGAAAGTAATGTAAATCAGTTGCAAATTAGATAAGAGAGACAACATCAGTAGGATATGAAGCAACACTAGTAGGCTCTGGATCAACAATTGAAGTATTTATAGAAAAAAGATATGCGGAACTATGAATATGATCAACAACACCTTTCTTGGATTTCACTTTAGCTAGGACACGAGCTTCACTTGCTTTCATCTTAGCCTTGATTTCTTCCTTCAACTTTTCCTGACCCTCTTCAGCTTCCTTAGCCACAACTTCAATGCTACTCATGATCCGATCTTTGCAAACCTAATTATCTACCATGATTTTCCAAACAGCTCATCAAGATAAGCTCTAGAATCTACATGTAGCACACCAGCATCAGATGAATCGGTCTCAATAATAGAATCCTTTGTTGGCTCCATATTTTGATCATCAAACACTTTTATGCCCGACGTATCCATATAGTAATAGACACCATTGGCATCACAGTAGTTTCTCACCATTTGTATCACAATAGTATGTCACCATAAAAACTCCATATTCCTCTAGAATCTTTGGAGCTTACAACATATCTTCTTCCTTATAGACAACCCCATTAAGATCTAGAATCAATTATACAAATGATGTGAAAAACAAGGGTCTTCTTGGATTTTCTTTGCAACAAAGCATCATTTAAATGAAAAAATTTTCCCAATTAAAGTTTATGTCAGAAAGAAGTTCCCACATAAGGTATTGATAAAAATCATAAGCCCTAGCCCAATACTTTGGCTTCTTGTAGAACATTTTAAAGCTAATCTAGTATAAAATCCACATGTCAAACCCGTTGCATCCCAAAATTTACCCTCTTGATTTAGGCTTATGTTTCACCATAAACATCCTATTGCATTGCATTCATACATCGTGTAGGGATCAAGGTGTTTTTTTATCAAGCCTCCCTCAAGCTTTGGAAGATTGATTGTATTGACAAATTGCTTAATGAGGGCCTCATTATCTAAAAAATTGGATCTTTCAAGCCCAAAGGTATCACATATCTTAAGATTTCTTGTCCACCTCATTGGATCATCAAAAGATTGAGTATTGTGTTGTTTATTAGGAGAATCATATGTTTTGGATTTATCAGCCAAAATTAGGGTTTTGCCGAAATTGTAGTAATTGGGGTCTACAGGAGCCAAGCATTGAAGCATTATTCTTTTATCATCATTGGAATCAAAGAAGCCTCTCTTGATGCCCAATGGAATTAGAGGTTTGGAGCTTGGTTAGTTATTCCTAACGCAGGGTGCAAAACTAGGGTTTTGGATTTAATCAGGATTTTTGACTTTTTCACCCAAGTTGGTTTCCATGATTCACCATATGTTATTAAGCATCCTTGATTAAAGTATTGAGGTCGAATCTTGAAGAAAAGTGGTCCAATTGAATCAAAGGGGCAAATAAGTCATTTACTCAAAAATCAACAAAGTCAAAGTTGACCAAATGAACTTTTGGTCAACATGAAGCATTTGACATGTATTTTCATGTGGGATAATAATTGATGATTGATTTTGATGAGAGTTGCAAGTTTGAGAGGTTACTTGGATTTGAAGTTATCTTGGTGATTGAAAATTTCACTAAGTGTTCTTGATTTTGGCCTGACTTTGCAAGGGCATAACTTTCTCATTTTTCAGGGGATTTTGGTGGTTCTTTTTGCCAGTTAAAGAGGGGGAAAATATCTACAAGGGACCATAGCAGACAAAAATACACTTCTTACTCAAAATCAAAAGTTATTGGATTATAAGTTATGGGCAAGTTGGTCAAGCGTTGGGCATCATGGGCAAGCCACACGGTCATCCTGAGGAATCTTGCCCAGGCATTTCATCGAACAGATGGAACACCAAATGTGCAATCCATTTTCTTATAGCTCAAGCTAGGTTTCAATTTGATTCTGGGTTTAATTAGAAGTATTACATGTTGGCTTTCCATTGTCAGAAGAATTATTGGAGATGGTTAGGGTTTGATCAAGTTATGAATTCTGAAAGTGGGCAACCTCAACTGATCGGGAATGGCACACAAGACACAAGGCATGGCCGAGCCAGCTATACATCATCTCCATATTTGACACAAAATGAATTTTTGTGATTTGGTTTCAAATGATTTCATCACACACGAGTTTATCACGTGTGCACTCAGCTCCCACCTCACTTCTTACCTCATTTGGCTAAACATTCTCACGCACCATGCCTCACCTCACTTCCCTTGGGCCTTTCCATTTTTGGCAACTTTCTCTCCAAAATATCACATATTCCATGCGCATCAGTAGGACACCTCATCATTCACACTTATTTCCTCTCATTTCCACTCACTCTTTGCTGATTAAAACACAGGTCGATAAGGAGCTTGAAGGGATAAAATGCAATTTCCACTTTTTGAATTTTGGATGAAATCAGAGAAAACCAAAAAAATCTCAAACGAACTTCAACATTATTTTGATCTTCACCATCCATTTTCAAGCTGTATTTTCTCATTCAAAGGCCAGGATTGCTTCAACTGTAACAAACTTTTGTTGCTATTTAACAAACTTTATCTTTCAATCTGAGAGAGGATTATTCAGTCGTTGGAGGAATAACCAAAAAATAGCTCTCTCTTTCTCTCTGCTTTCTCATTCAATCTTCAACCAAAAGTTTTCTCCGACTGAATCTCCAACCTCCTAAAATCTTCATCTATTCTCAAACTGAATTTTCAACCTCCAAAATCCTCTTCATCTCCTTGCATCTACGTCAACATCAACATCATCTTCATCTCCCTGCAAATCGTCAACAACATCACAAATCTTCATCGTCATTAAGAACTTGAAGCAACTCTTCTCCTCAATTCTACATCCTCAGTCGAAAGGGAGCGGTATTGGCCAAGAGTTTCAGATCTGAAGTTTAGTTTCCTCTCATGAAGTCCAGTTCTCGAATTCTCTCATTTTAATGGATTATTCTTTCGTTTTCTCGTTGCTTCATCTTCAGTGAAGTGAGTAGATCATAGTGGAAGCATTGGTTTGCATCTGGAGCAGCGGATTCGAGTTTCTGGATTTTTCATCAAGGTAACTTTTCTTGGACTTCGATTTGTGTGATTCAGCTTGAATTAGTGATGTAGCTCTTGTGCATTGTGTTTTAGCTGGACAAACTATGGGTCTGATGTATATATTTGTCTTTGTTTGATGTTTGAATCGTGTTGTGGAGTTTCTGAAATTTTGTGTGTAGATGATTTTCTTTGAGTTTTCATGAGTTTTATTCTTGATCTGTGGTTAATGATTTAAGATGATTTAAGTTGCATGATGTAGAGTGTTTTGATAGCTTTCGATTGCACTTGATTTTACTAAATCTAATGGAGAATTGAGTTTGTTTGAATGACCTGAGCATGAGCCCTTGCACTGAGTTTACGCGCAAGTTTCACTTGTGCTAGAGGTTAGAGTCTGTGAAGCTTCGAAGTCCAGAATCTATGAAGCTTCGAAGGATGATAGCTTCAAAATCCAAAGCATGGTGAGCTTTGTTCCAAGAAGGTTTCTACTGCAGGTTAAAGCCAATCGAAAGATGCTATTGTTTGCAGGTTGAAGCCAATTGAAGGATGTTACTGCTTACATGTTGAAGCCAATCGAAGGATGCTATTGCTGCAAGGTTGAGGCCAATCGAATATGCTACTGCTACAGGTTAAGGCCAATCGAAAAAGGATGCTACTGCAGGTTGAGTCCAATCGAAGAAGGTTACTGCTGCAGGTTGAGGCCAATCGAAGAAGGTTGTTGCAGCAAGGTTAAGGCCAATCGAAGAAGGTTGTTGCTGCAAGGTTAAGGCCAATCGAATATGCTACTGCTGCAGGTTGAGGCCAATTGAAGAAGGTTACTACTACAGGTTGAGGCCAATCATATAAGGTTGCTGCTGCAGGTTGAGGTCAATCGAAGAAGGATGCTACTGATGCGGGTTTAGGCAAATCGTAGAAGGTTGCTGCAGTAAGGTTTAGGCCAATCGAAGAAGGTTACTATTGCAGGTTGAGGCCAATCGAAGAAGGTTGCTATTGCAGGTTGAGGCCAATCGAAGAAGGTTGCTGTTGCAGGTTGAAGCCAAACGAAGAAGGATGCTACTGCTGCAAGTTGAGGCCAATCGAAGAAGGTTGTTGCAGCAAGGTTGAGGCCAATCGAAGAAGGTTGCTACTTAAAGTTTGAGGAAAATCAAAGAAGGCGAAATGATTTGTAACACGATGCTGGAAGAGTTTCACCGTAGAAGTTGAACCACCATTCCAACTGTGAACTCTTATCCCCTTTTTTACCATTCAAAACATTTGATCAATTTTGTTTTATGATTTTAATTTTTGTTAAATAGACCCTAATTGGATAATTGCTGGAATAAGATGTGAATTCAAACTAAGGTGGTGGCTGGGCCCTGAGCCCGTTAGTTCTTTTTGAAATCAATAAATACCAACAAAAGGGCTTCATGGGTCACTTTTTAGATGGGCCTAGCACCTAACTTTTGATTCATACACATCTGGATCCAATATACACCCCTGGTTGCTTAGAGCTTTGTCACTTATTTTCTCATGGAATTTTCTTTTTATTAGTTTGATGATAAAAATGATACAAAAATGATAGAATATTTTTTAGAGTTTATTTTTTAGGAATTTAGAATTTAATTGAAGTTTCCAAATTATTCTTTCCATGTTAATACTCACTTTGTTATTACTTTATTTCCATGAGTTTGTGGTAAGAGTTTGGTTTATGATATTGAGCCCTTGAGGATTAGTCTGGTTGATTATTGGTGAAGCTTTCGCGAAGATCGTCGGGTTTTTTTGTTTTAATACGCTCTGCTACGGATTAATATATGTTTGGTATTTTCTCTTGTTTATCTCATTTCACACTTTATTGCTTTCTAGAGATCATATAAAGTAGAGGCGTTTATTGCTTTCTAGAAATCATGTGAAGTAGGAAGCAGGAAATAAAGAGCATGTGCTCGAAGTCGCTGTTTAAAGTCATGTAGCATGCACCACTTTTTGTATGCTATCTGTGTGTAAGTGCCCTGGCTGGAGAGTTGGCCTCATTTGTAAAACAAATAAGAAAGCAAGTTTACCCAGATCCCATCTGTTGTTTTAATATGTGGTGTTGAAGAAGTTCAACATCTGGACCAACATGTTATGTAAGATGTCACAACATCAGCATGTGACATTGCGCCTGAAACTAAGTACTGATTAAGTAACTATGTTATATGTTGAATGTTTGTAACAGCTGTGACTTATAACCTAACTATTCTAAGTGATCTAGGTTATTTGTTGTGTTGAAAAAG